AAAAGTTCAACCGGAAACTTGTGTTCCCGGGCGCATCGTGCGCCCGATCGAACATGGAAGTTGGAACAACGCGTACCTTGCAAAAAGCGTATCCCCCAACGATATTGTCCTCCCCGTGAGCTACGTATGGCCATCGCGAATGCATTGTACGCGATAATCATAAAACCATTGTTTCATACAGCGCCGTACACGCGCATCGGTGCATCGAACATCGGTTTAGCTTTCTCACGCGCGACAAATTAAAACAGAAATAATTTCTCGTTTCGATGGGAAATAATGAGACGGGTTTCACCAATGTTTCCCGGATTATCCACCGCCCGGCCTTATCGACGCTTTCGAAAGCGAATCAAGCCCCGATTCATTGCTAAACAAGCACGATGATAACTCTTTAATATCACCGGTGTATTCTTTTTTCCTATTTTATATCGATTCTTGTTTTAATTTATAAAGTCTTTTTCTTAATGACGGTTCTTATGATTTTATTCATTTCATTCGGATTGGTTGCTTCGGCTACTTGAAATTATTTTTTTCTAAGTGGAAGGTCCATCTATTCTAACCGAAGAGAAAATATAATAATTCAGATAGGGTAACGCTAAGAACTAAAAATAAATTCAAAATCGTCTTGTACTCGCGAATTCGCCTCGCCTGCTTTCGAAGAATAATTTCGCAATTATTTCGAGCAATTGTTTCAAACAATTCTGAAGCAAAATTTGAAATAATATTTCAAAAGCGATCGTTGTACCGTACACAATGATTTATCCCAGTAATAGATTGTTTCCGATCTAGCTGTCTACCTGGTGTCCACGATTTCTCCAATTACTTGCAAAAAAAAGTCACTAGTTCTCGCGTATCGTTTTTTGGAAAAATGTTACAATGCCCCAAATCTGTCCAATTTCCAAGGGGCGATATACCATTTCCCCCGCAACCCGCGCGTTATTCGTGCAATTTTTAATCCAGATGAGTCCTTATCCGCCGGGAGGCATCGAGAACCGATTCGCTTTAATCTCGATGGGAAGTTTAATCCGACGTAGCGGCGCGCGCCTGGAAATCTCGTCGGACGAGCCACGGATCCCGGTGGCGCGGTTGCAACGGAATACTTTGACAGTTCGGGTTTCGATTCGCCTAATTCGCTGAGGACAATGAGAATGATGCATCGCTTATCCGTGCACGCCGGCGCATAAATTAGGTCGTGCTGTGGATCGTATGAACCCGACTTAACGGAATGCATAAATAAAGTGCGCGTGTCGGTGGTTGGCCCCCGCGCGTCCGATCCACCGATCGCAACACGCTACGTATTAATGCGCGAGACGGGGGATCCCGTGCGAGCATCGAGTAGCATAATAATCGATGCGGGGACGAGAGTAAACGTATCGTAACAGAGAACGGGGAAACCTAGATTTTCGCGAGCCACGATCGATGGGATGTGACACTTGTTAGAGGAGCGAAGGGTTCGGTCAATTTGACACAGGTCGGTCTACGCTAACCTCGGGCCTGGGTTAGGCGAAATAACGTCGCTCGTGAAATAGCGTTACTCGAATTATTGTTTCGAGTAACGCGTTATTTTATTCCGTAACTATTTTCGTAACCGTGATCGGATTTGAAATATTAGTATTTGGAATATTGTTTCTGTAGGCAATTCTGCTGTAGGCAAATACACGTGCCACCGAGCACCAGGTAGCATGTACGAGTGTATAAGTGCAAGACTGTCGACCGGTATTTAAAAAGAGCTGAGAAAAGACCACTCACGTTGTTTTTTCGCTCAACCATCCTACGTTTCAAATAACATTTTACTTCGTAATTATTTGAAACAATTGCTTGAAATAATAGTGAAATTCGTACAAGACGATTTTGAATTTCGGAAATCAAGCGCGACCGAAATTGCGACGGCTTTGTTTTGAAATTGTGAAGGATTGAAAATTCAGGTCAGGCGCGCCTGGGGGAAGGCAACCTGCACCCGTCGAGACTGTCATGGTGGATCCAGTGGCGGCGCAGCCGCGACAGATTTAACAGGGATACCTAGTGAAATATTCATTTTTCGGATGTCTCACCCGATATCTTTTACATGGAGAACTTCGTATGGATTTAGGTAAAATGAATATACGATTTCAGTCGAGGAAATACGGTGCAGTTGCATTTTGCGGACGCGTCGTTGCACTTTGGATGCCCTTGGATTATTAAGCAGTTAATTTTTTCTTCCATGTACACGATCGCATAAATATTCGTACGATCTATGTCTATCGAAGACGTTTCGATTTAATAATAGTTTTGATATTATCAGATGAATTTTTCGTTATAAACACGCGTATGAATACGCATGTTATACATTTATATATGCGTATTGATATAAACATACACTTGGAAACATCAAACCTAACATTTAATTTAAATAAATTTCTTGAATATACATAGAGGGTATAAATATTCATGGGACTGATTGTACAATAGTACGCTACTAAAATTTACAAGCAAAATCGTAGATGCATTTTGCGTCGCTGTACTCGTGGAACGATTCGCGTTAAAAGCTAGAGATTATCAAAAAGTTTAATTTCTTTCTACATACAACATCGCAATTTTCAAATAAATTTATTGTAAGCGTAACAGATCTTTCCAATCGCTGAGAAAGAAATGAAAATCAAAAAAATATACATGTTGAATCGAGTAACCTCCTCCTTTTCGAAGTCGGTTAAAAAAAGAAAAGTCAGGCGCGGAAAAGCGAAGAACGCGATCGCAACGAGTTCAGGCATGTTTTTCCTAGCGTCGTGTTCTCCGGTGACGTCATCCAAGCGCCGAAATGCGAAAGAATTGCGAAACTGAAGAGTAGAATAAGACTGAAACCGTTAATCGCGGGAATTCCACGATTTTCGTCGATATTCACGAATCGCTGGCGTGCGTCGTTTCTGCAAGAAGTTAAAAGGGGAACCGTCGTATAAAAGGAGGAGATCGGGGACGGGGACGGGGCGAAATTCCGGTAACGTTCCCGCGTCTACGGAAGAGTTACGGCCCCGGGGACGCGAAGAAACACGGCATGCATTCGCGAGTAACCGTATAATAGAGCCGCATTGTCGCGATACCAAATAATTTCGGCTGGCGGAACCGAAATTTTCGAAATACGGGTAATTGCGGCTGGAATCGGTCCGCGTGCTTGGATACAATGGAAAAAGAGAAAAGGTAATGAAAGGTAAAGATAAAAGAAAAATGAAAATTACGAATCGTTTTCTTTTTTTTTTTTTTTTTTATCGAATGTTCACTGAATGACCTAGTTTTTCCCAAGCTGAGATATTTATTGCAAACGTTTATTCCAAGAATGGACAATGAATGGGACCACGATGTAATACGTCAGCCATAATTTATTTGTTTACTTCAACGGTCTTATTGAATAGATATCCAAGAGTATTTATACGAGAACGTTGGTGTGCAGAGGAGGCAAGGTTCAGTCGGGGTGATTTTTTCGAACCTAACCTCGAATTAATACGAATTTACCTGCAAGCAACAAGCCTTCGCAACGACAGACTTCTGGCGTGATGTACTTAAAAAAAAAAAAATCAAAATTCTACGAATTTATACAAGTCTCGATACCTAACGAACTAATTACCTCATCGAAAGATCCATGCGGATATATTTCGAAGCAAGAATTATCAATACGATAGAGTAATATGGCAAACAATTTCTTTGCAAGTTTGTTTATCCTACTTTTTTACCGAGATAAGAACACTGTCTGAGTTTCAAGGAGACCGTACTCCACTCTGGGATTCGAAATAGTGTCACGCGCCGAGAAAAAAGAAACGCAAGGAGGTAGGCGAGGTCAGAGGTTAATAGTTGCGAAGGTATTCGCATGCAAAGTCGGGATGTTGCATTTAAAAAGCCGAGGTTGAGCTTCGTATCTGGATGAAAAAAACTGCACGGCAAGAAACTGATTACTATGTTACACGCGCCCCACTCGGTGCCGCGCAATTTTTGTTTGCCGACATGTTTTCATGCGGAGGACCGTTTACGAGTAAATTTAAAGTCACCGGGGCTAGATAAGATGGCCTCGCTACGTGCGACACGCTGAAACAAGCTGGGACCTAGGTCCGGGGATGCTTATCGGGGCGAATGAAGAGTTCCCATGAACGTGGATCGAAGAATCATATTTTTGGGTTTTATATTGCAATCGAACTAATTTTTTATCTGGTCTTCGTAGACTCACTCTCTGTAAAATTTGTAATCGAGGATTATATTAAATCAGACACTTGAAAATTTTTGCTGCGATTAAATTTCGTATACGGACTGTTGGAAAGTGCATAATGAACTCGTGGTATTTATTTTTGTAGCTTTGTTGAAATTCAAGCGTTTCTATCGAATTCATTTTCGTTGATGATTAATTTTTAAAATTGGTTTATTTACTTCTCCAGTTAAAAGCACTGTCACTTGTAATTAAGTGAAAGAATCGTAAAGGCTGGAGGGGATTTTTGAATTAACACGACTTCGTGTCACCTCAATCATAGTTCGAACTCGACTGACTGCCGATCGTCGAAGATCGTCCTTTTGCATTTCTCATACCCTATTTCTTATTGCCTATATACGTTTCTGTACTAAGTCTTGTTTATTGTTTGTTTGTTGAGTTTATAATGCTAGCTTGGTGACCAACTGACTATTCGCTCGCCTTATTTGCTATTGTGTACTGTCTCATCCCTTATTTTTCACCCTCAACCTTTTTCCATACTTAATATTTTTATCCAGCCCTAACCCAACCATGAAAAACCGGGGCGGACCGGCCAGGATTCGAACCCAGGCTCTCAGCGTGGTAGTCGGCTACGTTCCGCACTGCTCTACTGTCCGCCCCCTGTACTTACTAAGTCGCATTTCGTATCGATTCCCTACGCAATCAAATTCTATCTACATTTTAAATTCCCGATTACTATTATTCAAAATATTCATTCACAAATTACTGTTATTCATTTTACTGCGAACAATCCAATGGACTAATTTGTTAACGGACGACTGTCCCCGTTTAATTGCAGCTCGGAGATAGGATACGCCGGTTCACCGCCAAGGGAGGTGCTCACGCGAGGGAGGAGCATAGATTCGGTGGACAGACCTTTTCAACCCAGCGACTGGGTCGACGTGAACCTCGAGGTGCCGAGCTCGCCGAGGCCCAGCTCCGTCCTCACGAATTTAACCGTCGACACGAGCCTCTATCCCGCCGCCACTCCCGCGTCCAGCTGTAAGCTCGCAATTTATCGTTAGCTCATTTTGCAAGCTGTATCCTTAACGAGAACATGCTCGTCCCGACATGCCAGCTGATAAGGACCGGTACACCGTGCGCATCCCCGCCAACAGAGATGCTCCCTGGGATTTGCTCGCGCTTTGTATTATAAATAACGAAGCTCCCTGGTTCTGGGTGGCGTAAAAACCAAGCATGGTTGGCCCTGAAGGGAAAAGAGCTTGGCTCGAATTACGCATAGTAGTTTGGAATTACTCGAACTTGGTGTAGACGTCAGGTGTCTCGGAACAGAGAGCGATAAGGTTCAAGAAATATTTCTTGGAATTAATTTGTCTATAGTTTATATTAGTGAGATTTGGCATAACCAAATCTCAGGTGATTGGGAAACACTAGTTAGAATTACAGTGAGTTCAAAAACGCACAGATTTAGAATAAGTACAGGTATCTGTAGTATCGACAGAGCAGAATTTGATGGCACAATCTACCACTAAGAATACAAACTATTTTTCCACGTACACGTTTTAAAATTAATATTACAATAATTATATACTCGATACCTGCCTATATTAAATACCCTGCGCTCTCGAGTCGAGCATAGAGAACGCCCCCAAACTAAATTTCAATCGAAATCACATATACGCAAACTTAGCTGTGTTAAAATTCCGTATTAACGATGCTTCCGTGCTTTCGCGCCAGCAGATTCGAACTTGAAGGATTCGACGCCAGTGCCGCCACCTCGACGACGCAAACGGAATAAGGGCAGGCCCTTGCCGCCGAAACCGGACGAGATCGCCGGGAACTCGACGAGCAATTCGAGGCACACAGAAGGGGCCGACGAACCGTTGTATTCGTCGGTGCAGTCGCCGAAAAGCAGCGGCGACGAGCAGGACGTGGAGGAGGAGATCGAATCGGAGAAACGGTGCCTCCAAGACACCGGAAGAAAGACGAAGGAGATTTATGAACACAAGGCGAGTTCTAGAATGGGGGGGACATGGATTTCCATTGTAGATTCTCAAACTCGATATTCAAGAGAATGTTCACCCTCTCGCGTTTGGGTAAATAGAGGAAGAGGGAAGGTGCGAATCCGTGAAAAAAATTAAAAAATATTTACGGATCGAGGCCTGTTCGTGGGCAAACAGTCAACACGACGTTCGTTATGGCGCCAGGGGGTGTTTTTTTTTTTTTCTGTCGAAGTGAATCGAAATAGGGGGATTTGTCACTGTTAGCGAACTACTCTGGGAAGTTCTGTCTTGTTGAAGTGAAGACTCCTTCTCTTGAGTAGAGGGACATTTATTTATTGTTTTTTTGAAAATAGATTCGGTAAATTCATTGCTCCTGTTGTAAGATGAGTGTTTATTGAGTAGTTGGGGGAGGGGTGGCTCAACACGAATAAGTGGAAAGCTAGTAACAAAAGCTCCTTCGAGACTGACAATTACTCCTTATTTATCACCTCAGACCTTCTTAGTACCACACACACATCAGTTGCCTTCGAAATAAATATTCTAATAAATCCAACACCTGTCAACAGGTAAACGGCACTGGAAGGATAATAACCAGCGACATGGTGTCGGGCAAGAGACCCGGCAGGACCATAGACGCTAGTTACCATCAGCTGAAGCCTCAGGATAGCGAGGAGTACGAGCGATTCGCGAGGAACAGAACCAGCAAGGACTCGTCGACTCCCAATCGCGAGGACAAAAGGGGATCGAGGAAGCCTGAGAATCGGGTCATGGATTCCTTGAAGGTTCCAGGTCTGTCGACCGGCGCTAGGACTAAGAACTACAGCACCGTCAGTCTGCCAAATTACGACGAGTTGGACACGACCAGGCATCAGGAGGACGGGACGAGGGGCTATCAGGCCGAGGAGGAGAAAACAAAGCCCAGGAGACCCGTCAGGAGCAGCACTGGATCGCTCCCGGCTGCGTCCTTCCTAGAGCCATTTTCCGAGGTACGCAACTTGCTGTATTTTAGCCTGTTTCCTACTCGCTTTCGTTAGGGTCGATTTTAATAGATGGAACAGTTTTCATTTATTTTTCTTATAGGATTGTTTGTAGGGAGTGTCTTGATTGGCGTGGCAGTTAAAAAGTAGATGCGAGAGTGTGTAGTTTATTTATTGTTAGTTGGTTTCTTCTACGTTTCGATGAGTGGTGGGGGTAATTAGGCGACAGTTATCGAACATTTCTTCAGGGAACTGTTTGTGTCTTGGTAGTTGCGACAGTTAAAGAAACAGATGTGAGATTCTATAGTTTATTTATTGTTGCTTGGTTTCTTCTATGTTTCAATGAGTGGTGGGAGAAACCAGGCGACAGTTATCGAACATACCTTCAGGGAATTGTTTAATCTCGTAGAATTGTATTATATTTCAAATGTACCTTGGTATTTTGTTATGACTCAAGTGTTTAAAGAAGTGGTGGGAATAGCCACGCGACAGTTATGGAACGTCACTCAAGGAACTGTTTAATCTCGTACAATTATGTTATATACTACATGTACCTTGGTATTTTGTTATCACCTAAGGGTTAGTTATGACTCAAGCGTTTAAAGAAGTGGTAGGGATAACCACGCGACAGTTATCGAACAAAATCCATGCGTCGCCCTATTTAATCACCCGCGATAACAGCATTTTACTATTTTCCTTCGAATTAATAGTTACCGGCCGAACTTTCGCAACTTCTATCGACGGCCAGCCGTATCTCGCCGTCGAAGTGTTCCCCGCGACTGTGTGCCCAAAGTCTCGGCACCGTAGAGGGTTAATCCGCCGCGAATATATTCTAATCCGCAGAAAACGAGCGTGCGACTGGAGGACTATATATCGGGCCGCGCCATTCCCGATAACCTATCGCCGTATCAGGTCCTGGAGAAGCTGGAGTGCGGGGAGAACGGGGACGCGGGCGCCGGTTTCGTGAAGTACGACCCGAGTAAATCGGAGGATTGGGTGCTCGGCGGGATCGGTGATTGCGAATTGAATCACCAGCGCGGGGTCTCGTTGGAGGTGAGGACGATGGATCGATGTCTCACTGCTGTTTGCAGAAATGTACTTCCGAATGCAAAGACCAAGTTCTAAACGAAGAACAAGAGAACCGTCGCTCTTCCTCCTCGTTCTTTGCAATATAAAATAGTATTTACTCTCTAAATATTCCGCTTAGGAAGAATCGAAGATTTTCAATTATTTCAGGACGCCTCGAGGACCGACGAAGGCGAGCAGCACCGCGAGGACGAGGACGTCGTCGACTCCTCCGGTTTGGATAGCCGAAGAAGGCAGCAACGAGATGCCGCGGACTCATCGACGTACTTGCAGAAGCCCGAGGCTTTCGGAAAAACACCGTCTGCCGTGACCGGCGAGCCGGAACATCCCGAAGTGGATCCAAATAGGTCGGTAGAGATTATCCCCGAGCGGTGTTCGTGTGATTAACTGAATTTAATTGGGGCGTTCAGATGCCAAGTGGTGTAAGCCCATATTTCGAGGATTACCCTCCCCTAACGCCTCTCTGCGTGAATTTTTCAGCGCGGTGTCCTAGATTTTTTATTCGTCAGAGGGGGAGTTGAATCGCCGCAGAGACAATTATTTGGTTAGAATGCTACTTTGTATTAGAATATTATTAGTTGGTATTATTTAGGCTCTTCAAGGATTAATTATTTCGTGGGAATATTTAATTAATCTTTCTTTAGTTAATCGGGAATATTTATTCGCTATTTTAGTCATTTCTCTGGGACACGAAGAGGCAGAGTTCGCGAAGAAAGTAAAGACGTGAAATTATAAGAGTTTTGTCTAATATTCAGAATGATCATAATTATACTGCGGATTTTTATGCATTTATCAATTTGAATGTGCAAGAATCTACAAAATGCACGCAGTATGTAAGATTATAAAAAATATTGAGAGTAAAATAAATTCCTATTTAGGTTCAATTTTTGTAGGTACCGCGATTGTATCTCGCATAAAGATCCGCAGTCTAATTATAATAAATGGAAAGGTGAGTAACGACGAAGGAGAAATTCTAAAACACCCTTTTGTTAAACGATAAATGCCACATTGAATTTTTCCCCGGTAACGATAACAACGAGACAAGTTGTAGAATCAGCTACTCGAGCCGAAAGAAGGAGCTGCCAGTCCATTGAGAAACGCTACATACGCATTTTCCTCCGTCTGTTTCCGTAGGTCGCAGTTGAAGCAGTTCGATCCTCCAACGCTGGCGGACAGTTGCAGAATTTCGGCCAATCGCGACTGCCTCGGCACCAAAGAGCCGTTTTTCCTGGACGAGGCGAAACATCGTTCCGCTTTAGGTAAATAGAGCCCCGAAAGCCCGAAGGTGGTCAAACGGTCTCCATTAACGCTTCCCTCGCGTCCCGCGGGTCTTGAAAAAACACCCTTGCGATAACACAACAGAACTCGCTCCAATATATCCCGGCCGGCCAATAACGCGTCCCCCTTCATAAATCCTGAGCCGATCGGAGCTGGGGCTGGGACTACTTGTTGAACTTTTTTACACACCAATTTTTCTGCATCAGGATTTTCTGAGCGATTCACTGATCGTTTCTTTTCTAAAATATTATTGAATTAGGTGAGAAAGTTGTATTTATCATCTTTGTAGTGTTTATAGTATCTAAAATAGTAATTAATTTGTACATGATGTTGGATTTTCGTATAGGTATAGTGCGGAGATGAGATGTTGGCTAGTGGATCTGATTGGTGACGGTATAGTCTCCTTGATCCTTGAAAAACTGAATCTAGGGTGTAGCTGAGCTGATTGTGAACAACAATTTCCTTTGCAAAAATGTCGGATGACGCGTCAAAAACTCTCGGATATCAAGTTTCATCCAAATCGATTCACTTTTCTGCATTTTGGTCCGCCATATTGGATCCTCCATTTTGAGTTTCTATATTTTGAGGTCAAATCTGGAATCAGCGACCCTGAAAGCCTCTCAGCTACCCTCCATTTCCGGTTCTTACATTAATCCTGGTTTAGGTCTGGATCAAGTCTGACGAAAAACTATCACTAGTACTATGAAAGAAAGTGAAACACCCTAATCGCTATCATTAAAAAATTCCTTTCCGAAAACAAGTGCCCTCCAAAATACTCCAACAGTCCCAGCCCTGGAGCGTCATGTACAACCCAACTAGTGAAATTAGCCAGTCCACCAGTTCTCGATTACGTGGTCTTTCCTTCGAATCGACATTCCAAGAGTTAGGATCGCTTCCCTGCGACGACTGATCGTTCCCACCAAGCGGAAGCGCACGTGACCAGTTAAACCGCGGACGTTCCATTTGCCAGATACGATAGGGAATCCCCACTTTCCCGAGGAGGACGATCGACGCTCGAGAAGGATCTTCGGTCGAAGCCTGTCGAACGAGAGCGAACCGGACGAGGACGCCTGCGAGTCGAAGGAGCTGACCAGCCGCCCAGTGAGCCTCGTCAGGACCATATCGGAGGAGTCGTTGCCGCGCGAGATGCTCGAGCAGCAGGAGCTGGAGGAGCTCTTCGACGAGAAGCTGGCCAAGGATGTGCACAACAAGCTGAAGAAGAGTTTGGACGATCAGAAAACGAAGACGCCACCGCCGAGTCCCGAACCGAGGATGAAGACAGATTTTTCGGACGGCGATCACTCGACGTTGCTGAAGGTCCTTAAAGAGGAAACTGCCGAGGAGAGTAATCTCAGCTCGATGACACCCAGCCTCACCGAGCTGGAGGCTGCGCTGTCGGACATGCTCGAGAAGGAGGAGTCCCAGGATGTCAAGGACGAAGCTAGGACCAACGGGATCAGCGAGCTGGTCTCAAACAGTGGAATCCTGACCGCTGAGAAGAATCTAGCTTATCCGAGGAAAAGTGAGATTAATCAGTCCGTCGAGGCTACAGGAAACCCTGTTGATCTACCAGACGAGAGGAACCAAACCCCCGTGTCTCTGGGACAGATCCTGGAGGACAGGAAGCCGATTGCCACCAGGAAGGTATCGTTCTGCGCTTGGGAGGAGACCGTGGACGAGATCGAGACCAGGGCCAATCGGGAATTCATCGAGGATTTAGATAAGACCGTCGTTTCTCGGCTGAACGACGATAGTGGCTGGGCTTCGACGGGCCAGCACGTCGACATTCCGCCAGAGAAGCCGACCAGGTTGAACAGGACAACGGAGGATCCGGTGGCGGGCACTGGGATCGTTCCCACGCCGCCGCGAAGGAGGAACAAGAGTCTGGGCGCTGCTAAGAGGGTGATCGAGGCTGCGCAAAATGGATCCGTGATCGCAGACCCCTACGCGAATGACAGACTCATCTGAACCATCCTGGTTGGACTTTTTCAGCGAGTACTTGAACGAGGAATTGGGTGGAGAGGCTACGACGGAACGAAGGATGGTCTCCTGGACATGTGCACGAGGGTTTCGTTAGTAGAGGGTGTTGTTAGTAGAGGGTGTTGTTAGATAGGATAGGCGTGAGCTGGAGGATGTTGGAACCTTGTCAATAGTCGATATCTGGGGACTTTGACAGTGGTAGATGCCTAAGGACTTTTTTAACAGTGTATACGCCTAAGAATTCTGTCAAGGGAGGATACTTGAGGATTTTTTCAGCAATGGATGCCTTCAAGACTCTGTCAATAGTGGATGATCAAGGACTCCATCAACAGTGGATGCTTAAGAACTTTGTCAACAGTGCATATGCCTAAAAATTCTATCCATAGAGGATACATGAGGATTTTGTCGTCATTTGATGCCTAAGGACCCTATCAACAGTGGATGCTTTGTCAACACAAATACCCAATACGTTGCATAACTAGAAATTTTATGACCCATCCTGGCTATGCTCACATTTTTCATATTCCGCCCCGTCATAAATGCATAAGAGTCGCTAGTCATTACCGCGATACGAGAGCAAGAAAATGTTCAAGAAAATTTCCAAGAGAATTTTCAAGAGAATCTACGAGCGACTCGAGCCAGGTCACGCGGAGGTCAAGCAACCGGTTCGACCATTTCCTGCTTGGGACGTGGTCGCAAATTCGTTCACGCAAGCACTCGAAAGTACGCGGAAATGGCGCGGCGAGAATTTCTCCGTCTCGGAGGAGAAGCTTTCTTCAGGGCTGAAACTTCTCTTAACGAACTTGCCCGTTCTCGAAGAAAGGACGCGCGTCGCGGCCTTCGTGAATCGCGAAACCTCGTTTGGGGAAAGTTTTCGATTCGATCGATCGCATCGCGGATGCTCAAGAATCTTCCACCAGGTCGCCGACGCGTCATCGTGGTAAAAATTAAAATCACTTGCGGTTCTTTCTTCGAGTCACAAGAGTAACGAACGACGAGTCCACGGTTCTCTAAAATACATTTACTTGTCTCAAGAACTATGCAAGGTACTGTATGTCAAGTGTGTCACCCTGTACATCAGGAATTTAATATCCGAGAGGTAGACGGATCCTTTCGAACAGCGACGCTGACATATTTTCGAGGATCGAATTAGGCACCGATCTTGCACCACTATCTTGGCGAGCACCTGTGCGAGTAGTTCGCAACTTTGGGGCTGTTCGTCGATCGATTATCGCGTGCGCGGGCTATCGATATCCGGCGACTTCGTTAGCGGAATATTCGGTGGCCTAGTTGCGACCAACTATTTCACCGCCTAATGAAACTCGTTCGTCGAAACTGCTGTGAATAGCGATACCGTTTCGTCGGCTACGCGTCGACGGGCGCCGGGGCGGTACGAAAATTAAATCGAGTATCGAAATCGAGGCGTGATTAGAAACTCGGGTACTAAGGGATAATGCGTCTCGTTAATATCGAATCGACGAAATTGACGGGAGCGATGACGGGGAGTGAACGAGCAGTTGAAATTCTGCTCGAATCGAATGGAGAGTGCACCACGATGTAACATACACATAATATTGTATATATTATGTTTAATTTGTGTAATGCAATAGGTCACTTGTATAGTGTATTTCGAATTGTACAAATAGTATATCGCGCATTAGAGTATAAAAATGTATGGATTGAAATATTTTGGTATCGATGAAGAAAATATAGTTTTACTTCTGTGGCAACAGTGATTTTGCGTTTTTTTTTTTTTTTTTTATATTGATGCCTGGGGGCGGAGCATGGAACGCTCTGAGACCAATAGACTCGGGAGTGACGCCCACTAGGCGTGGCAGACACCAGAGGTGGGGGTGTCGAGAGCTCCGGGAGCAGATGACACTTACTAACAGTGGGCGTTTCGGAATATGGGGTTATCAAAAGCTCTGGGACCGTGAGGCTCCAGGGGATGGGAAGTCGGAAGCTCTGGAACTACAAGACTCTAAAGGGTGGGGCGAATGAAGCTCTGGGACCATTAGACTCCGAGGGGTGGGGCGTTGGAAGCTCTAGGGCCATGAGGCCCCAGAGGGTGGGGCGTCGAAAGTTCTGGCACCATCAGACTCTAAAGAGTGGGTCGAATGAAGCTTTAGGACCATCGGATCTCGACGTAACACCCACCACCTTGGTTACAAAATTCATAGCATCGAAAACTCTGGGACCAACGGGCTTCAAATTCCTCCGAAAACCAAACAGCCCCACCCTCAATCTACAATCACGTCCCCCAATCTAGAAACAGATACATCCCACGCGAATCTTTCCGTTGTTCTCCCTGGTAGTCCCGTGGCTCCTCGATCCCCCAGTGTCCGAAATTTGATTTAACACCGCGCCAGACGATCGAGCGGCCAGAAAATAATTTCGTCGTCGAGGGAAGAAGTTACCCCCCCGGCGGAGGGCGGCGGGGGCGGGAGGGTGGGACCGATCGAACGCCCGTTTCGCAGGCGTTATCGCGATCGGATACCCGCCGCGAATATATACGAGCCACGAAGGACGAGCCGACGTCGTCGATTCTTCGGGGGGGGGTCAGCCTTTGGAATTCAGGAAGCAGCTTGTTCGAAGAAAAAGCGGGACGTGATTGGACGACGTAGAAGACGAAGTTTCTCGCCACGGGGACGAGGGGGAGGGATGAAGGAGGGTTGGGAGAGCCTTCGGTCGAACCCTCGAGCGAGATTAATCTCGTTGTCGCTCGAGGAAGCTAAGTGCTCGTGACACAAGGTGCCCGTACAATCTCGCGCCGACGCGACCATGGGAAAAGGGCTGATTATGCGTGTCGTGGCACGGGGTACGCACGTTTGTGTGCAAATTTTAGCATTCCGGACGAGGTGGGAGCTAGTCGAGAACGTTCAGACTTAACTCGGTTTTATGGTTTAATATGAAGACCGTGAGTATCTTCGTACTGCTCTTGGATATACTCGAGCATTGGATGATATTGTTGTTTTACATCAGGGATGGGTATTATGAGTGTATCACGAAGAGCGCGCTAAATAGTGGCGCCACGAGCGGCCGCCATTACGACACGGTAAGGCGCCATTTTGAAGTGGTTGGGTCTTGTTATTCTAAAATGGCGTAGCTGGGTCACGTGCTAGGTGACGCAGTTAACATGTATTATTTCCTTACAATAATGTAACCTCGAAACATACTAACTCTTTATCTACCAATTTGTTTAAGAAGAATACTTTAAAAAGTACTTTCTATATTATTATTCCAACAAGGTATATTAAATTTCATATTTACTTTCTCAAATAAAGGATCGACAGTAGACAACCAACAACACAGTAAATTCCAGAAGGTAAACAGTGAAGATAAAAAAAACCAGAAGGTAAACACTGAAAAATAAAACAGAGTATACATCCCTCCTACAGTCACTGCCGAATACGGTACAAATTTCGAACAATCGAATCGCTCAAAATGAAATTTTCATCCGTACTAGAAGCTTTGAATATCGTTTTTCATTTCGAGAATCCACCGCAATGGTGGTAACGTTATGAAGCGTGTCTTTTCGAAACAAATACTAACTACAGCGGCGTTGCGTAACCCGCGACATGGTGTTCCGAGTATTCGGCTAGCCCCTAAATATACATCGTATATTTAGGCGTATAAAAGCATACGCTACATTAAGTAAAATTACTACAAATGTACCGCGGTCTGCGGCGGACGGTTTTCCAACCGGATGGCGCTAACGAACGTGTTAACTCGTTCCAACAAATGTACTCGATCGAGTACTGGGATCGAGACGACGCGAGTCCAAGCGGCTCACGAACAGGAAAATTATTCCGACCACACCGCTTCCAAAGAATTAGATCAGGCGAAGCTAGACGCTCGGTTAAAACGTGATTCTTCGCGCTAGGGTCGCGCGTTTAACTTTAATCCCGTTGTTTCAGGTGTCCCTGGATACTTTCCAGCGGGACTCTCACGCGGTCGCGACCAAAGAATATCCCTTTGGTATCTTCCCAAAATTAAAACACCGTCGCGACTCTCTAATTTTCATTTTCAAATGGCATTTCGAACGCAAGAGTTCAAACGGTGACTTCCGTGGCTTCCGTCTATCGATCGAATCGATTCGCGAAAGAAAACGAAAGAAAACGATTCTTAAATCGAAATAACGCTTCGCGTCAGGCCAACGTCGAATAAGATGAACGCACGCGTTACTTCGTTACGCGTCATCCTGCCGTTACGTTTCCATATGCAACGATCCTCGACAAAGTCAATATTTATCGGAATCACGCGAGCGAATTCGGTCACGCGCTCGGCATTGTACGAATAAAATAAAAGCGACGCGGGAGTAACCTACGCGCTTGATTCACTGCTGCGTTTCGTCGACGGAGACGGAAAAAGATTATCGAAACACCGTGTTCTTTGCGACGCGAATTTGCTCCTGACGTAAAGGGAAACGACGAAACGTAACGCTTGCACCGTTTAGGGCCAGCACTTCTCAACCTTTCCCTTTGTGAGATTTACAAGTTTTTTTGTTTTTTTTATTTTTTTTTTTTTTTTTTTTTTTTTTGGAAATATTGTTTAAGAATTTTGATTCTCGTGATTGATTTGTGGGGAGGACTTCAGGGTTTGAGAGCTTGCAGACGCGTCAGAGGAGACCCTTAGGGTAGGGTTAGGTAGACCCTTCTCTCACGTATCGGCAGGTTAGTCAAGGTTGCAGTTTCTTGATTGAAATGGCGATTTTGAGACATCGAGGATTTATTACAATCCGATAGCTGCCGTGATCACGAATTTAGTAAGTAATTAGCCTTCATAGTAAGGCTACCGAGGTCAAAGCGTATTTATTGCATCGTATACACGAATTTATTGTTGTAATTAGAACCAGGAGGAACAGAATAATTTATCAGTAAAATGGTTTCTCCGTTACAATAATTGTCCCTGAATATTTTAATAAAAGGACTATTCGTAAATTAAAATTGAGCGACCTTGGAAACTCAAGTTTCCCAGGTGCATAGGTCAACATGGCCTACTTCGATCTTTAGCGTTCAATTTTAAATCGTAACCACCATAGGAACTTCCACTCGTTGATTCACTTCCAGTTGATTTATTCCCGATCATAATTTCGAGACGCTTTCGCCTCGAACTGAGAACCACTGGCTCGGCAACGCGAAATGATCCCCCCCCCCCCCCAGGGTATAATTCCAAGTGATTTTCAACGTGTCGTTCGCAGGCCACGCAACGAAAAGAACTCCCCCGGATGGGGTCGGCCGCGATTCCTTATCGGAGTTTCCGTTTCTTTATTTTTGATTTTTGTACAGCACGGTCGTTGAACGGGAAACAGGAGTCGCGAGGGGAAAGTGCCGACCGGCCGAGAAACCGATAAACTTGTAAAATCTGACGTTCCCGGTATTCTCTGAAATTAGCGCGAACGGATTATAGGTTCGGTCTGTTCGTGACACTCCTATTAGTATCGTGGACGGGGGTGAGGGAGGGATGACGGAGGGTAGGAGAAAATCGTCGTACCTTTCTTCTCGTTCCTTTCTTCCTACCAGCGGACGAGTGTAAAGTCGAAGCCGGACCGTGCGGTTCCCCTGGAATTTTCTCTGTCGCTAAATCTTATTATCACCCGACCGACGGATTCCCGAAACGTTGTTCAAGGTTTCCCTACGAGTGGACGAATGGAAAACGGTAACATCCGACCCTCGTCTCGGCTATCAGATTTTCCGAGGCTCCGGATAAACGCTGGCGCGGGGGCGGGCGGGGGGGGGGGGGAGGATAAATAAACCCGTCGTTTAGCGTTGTTGGAAAAATTGTATTTGGGTGCAATTGCACACGTGAATAATTAGAATCGGAATTGATATTTCGGTAGCTATTGGAATAATTTTGTTCGACGTTCATAGGGCAAAAGTAAATAACAAATGTAGTTCTTCAAAGTACCCTTAGAG